GAACCCCAAAAAAAAAAAAAAAAAAAAAAAAAAAAAAAGAAAAAGCTTCTAAGTAACAGGTTTCTTTCTTTCTTTTGAGTTGGAGTCTCACTCTGTCACCCAAACTGGAGTGCAGTGTCACGCTCCCAGCCACCGCAGCCTCGACCTGCTGAGCTCCGGTGATCCTTCTGCATCAGCCTTCCAAGTAGCTGGAACTACAGGCGCACGCTACCACACCTGGCTAATTTTTGATTTACTGTAGAGATGAGGTCTCGCCAAGTTGCCTGGGTGGGTCTCAAACCCGTGGGCTCAGGCAATCCACTCACCTCAGCCTACCAAAGTGCTGGGATTACAGGCTGAACCACCGAGCCTGGCAGTAACAGGTTTCTTAACATCTCCCTCAAGAGTCTACTCTCTCTTGGGAAAAGTCATCAGTTAGAAAACATTCTCCACTTCAGTTTACAAGTTCTAGGGAAGCAAGAGAACTAGATCAGGGCTCTTAATAACACTGGATCTGGTCACGTGCCACCACAGCCTTGACCTGCTGGGTTCAGGTGATCCTTCTGCTTCAGCCTTCCAAGTAGGTGGAACTACAGGCGGGTGCCACAATACCCAGTGAATTTTTTGATTGTAGAGACGAGGTCTCACCAAGCTGCCCTGGTTGTTTTTGAACCCCTGGACTCAGGCAATCCTCTGGCCTCCACCTCCCAAAGTGCTGGAATTACAGGCATAAGCCACCACGCCCGCCTGGCAAAGTCCATTTTCTCAAAAGCACTTGAAGAAATTTTTGGCCAGTTTAAAGCAACTTCCTGTCCTTCTCTATTAACATAAATAAACAATACAAAACCACCCCCCACCCACTCAGCCTGAGATTTCGTGTTACATTTGTTTACGATCTCCCCCTACTGCCCAAAAGAAGATTAAGGAACAAAAAAAGATCTTTTACTCAAAGGCTCTTCATTCTCCCAGGGACCTGCTCTAAGAGGATGTAGAGTAAAAATCCGGATTTCTTGTCTTTACTCTCAGATCTGACGATTAGCAGCAAATCCATGCATCGTGACCTACACCAAGTTAGTGATTAGCGTTGTTCCTCGTTAAAGAGCAGGCAAGAAACCAGGCGATGTCACTTCACTAAAGGATCTTATCTAAATCTGATTTCGGATTTCCAAAGGCTACAACGGGATCACGCAGACCTCATGATGTATGTGCTGATCAAAAGTAGGAAAAACATTTCTATTCTAGAGCTAAGGAATGAATGCCTTGTTATGCCTTTAACCTCAAACAGCCTAACACGGCCTTCTCCTCTAGAAAGCAATTGGGACACCGGCTTGGGGCGCTTTTTGGGAATGATCTTGGGTGGCCTAAGTTTAAAGAGGGCGCGAGGCTCCTGCCCGCCACAGCTCACTCGACACAGTGGGAAGGCCTCTGAATGAGACACTCGTGTCGGTCTGGCCCCTTTTCTCCTGGTCGGGTCCGTCCCCAGCCCGCAGCCCCGATTCGGAGGCAGCGATTAGCCCGGAACAGCCGGGCTGCCGCAGGCGTCTCTCTCACCTGAGCTGCTTGCCTTTCGGCCCGGTCGGCTTCCGCGCGTTCACTGCCGCCATCGCCCCACGCGGCGGTCCTTCACGCTTGCGTCTCCCGCCCCAGCTGGTCCCGGCCCCAGAGGCGCTCCGGGCGACAGGCCTCGGACACTTCACGCTCGCCGGTTGTTTTTCTTCCGGATTCCGATCGTCCGCCTCGGCTTCCGTAAGAGGCGGTCTCGAGTGCACCGAGGGTTCTGGGTGGTGCGATTTGGGGAAGAGGCGGGGCACCCGTCGAGCGCGAACCGGCGAGTGGCTGAGAGGTGCTTAGGACCCGAGGTCGTAAGAGAGGCGTTGCTTGCCTTTCAACAGAGCACGAGGCCGCACTGCCCCCGCTGGCGTGCAGGTGTGCGCAGCCACCCACCCGAAGCCCCTCCCGCAAAACTCCGCCCTCGCTTCCCAGCGTGCCCCGCGCGAGAAGGGCGGCCTTCCGGCGGCGGTCCCCGCTGCGCTCGCGCCCGGCCGCACTGCTGGCGAACGTGAGCGCTCCCACTTCTGTGCTGTCTTCGCGGCAGCTCCCCACCGCCCACCGGCCCAGAGGACAAACGCGGATCGGGGGCGAGGGGACACGCATCCTGGCCAGTGTCCTGCCTGTAACCGTCTCCCCCGCCCTCCAACTGCAGGTATCTCCCCCGTCCCCCCGGTACTGATACATTGGCCCCGGAGCTCCTCCATTCTTGGTTCTCTTCTACTCTCACTTTCATGTGACTTTCGCTTTTCCAACTCAGTTGGATTACCTAATATATATATATAGGAAGTTTGGGGATTCCTGGACTCCTAGAAAATTAGCCATCAGTGAGTGAGAAATAAGTCACTACTTCTATATGGTCTATATTCAAGACCAAACATGAATTTTATTTACTTTACCAAAGATCCACTGGTTTCCTTTAAGTTATTGGTTCTTAATCTTTTTTGGGGGGTGGGGTGGGGGGAGTACATGGTGTTCCTTTGAGAGCCATATGTGCTTTCAAAAATGTACACACAGTTTGACAAAGAAGCTTCACGAGGTTCACAAACCCAGAAGCTAGGTTAAGAGCGCTTATTGTAAATGTTTTGCTTGGTAGGGCAGATAAAGAGGAAAATGAAGAGGAGGGGAGGCGAGCAAAAGGAAATAGTGCCAGCAGAAAATGGGCAAATTACATTCAGATATGCAGTGTTTTCATAAGCCAATTGGCAAAGGAATATTTTAATTTACAGAAAGCCACCTGCAAAAGTTTTCTTTGTGACCACCCTGGGCAACTTGGCAAGACCTTTCTCTTAAAAAAAAAAAAAAAAACAACCAACTAATCCTGCCCTGGTAAAATGGGGGACATCAGTAAGAGTTTGAGGATGTCTAAAGTTGGAAAATGGACATAAGGACATCACCAAGCTGAACTCCAGAAGGCTCTGTCTAGGATTTTATTAGACTGCTTCTCCCCCAATATACCTGTATTGGAAGATTGAGACAAAAAAGGCACAAACTCACATTAAATAAACAAGGTTATCTAATCAGTTCTACAAAGTGTAGTTTGTAAAATCAGTAGCACTAGGAACCAACCCAAATAAGTCAGGGAGTCCCAGTAGGGACTGTAAAAGGAGAACTTGGGTAGATATACATGTGCCCACAATACTGACCCTGTCCCTGAACTCTTTTCATGAGAAGGCCAGAGCCTCGCACCCCTCCTACAGATGCACTGCTGATTCCAGTTGGGACTGTAACCCTGGAATTCTAATGGAAGCAGCTGGTCTGAAGGGGCGTGACACACACTCAGGTACTAGCCCTGGAGCTGACCCTGTATCACTCAGTCCCTCTGAGTGCTAGTCAGCTTGGGAGTGGGGGTATTTAAAAGAAGCCAGCACTGTTGCCCAGCAGCAACACCATCCATGGGGATGGAATAGACCAGGGACATCCCTTCTTTATGTTTATGTGGGCAAGAGTCCCAGATCCAGGCTGACCTCAGCTCATAATGGAGGCTTTTAAACTTTAGGGGCAACAGGTGGAGGTGGAAGGAATCCTCACTAGAGCTAAAGTGATATGTGTGGATCTCAAAGACAAGCTGAACAAAGGAGACTAACATCTGTTGGCCCTCAAACCACATAAACAACTGTCTGCTTAGAATATCAGTTTGTTTCTCCCAAGATAACCCACATCTGGACTTCATCTAGCTGATGAAAGAAGGGAAATCTTTAAGCACAAATATAATTAATAGCTAATACAGAGCTTGTAGGAGAACATTTACATTTTTCTCCAGTAGAAATGCCTCTTCTCCAACTTTCCCAGTCAAATAAATGGCTACCAGCAGTTGAGATGCCAATAACCAACTGATATACCCCAGATGCATTACTAAAGACCCCTCAAGGTGAGGACACCAATACAGAGTAAGTTCTGTAACAGGACATCTCCTGGTCCCAAAGGGCCTCAATGAAGGTCAGAGCTAACCATGCTGAGGAGTCTGAGTCTGTTCATCCTTGCCCACAGGGAAGCAGCCATCAGGATGTCACAGGTGCAGTCCTGTGAGACACTTCCTTATTGCACTTAGAAATGAGTAAGGCAAACACACTGACAAACACAAGGATAAATTATCCCATCCTACTTCTGGCTCCCACAACAGAGATTTGGTCTCATTAGCAGATGCACCCATGCTAGCATAGGCTTGGATCACTGCACACTCAGGACAACATATTTCACAAGGTTTGGGGGATGTCAGGTGACACCACAACTACCTCAGATTCTCCCACCAAGAAGGCATACTTAGGTTCTGCCAAGCTGTAGGAAACTATAAAGCACTCAGCAGCCTCTATTCCCCTGGAGCCTGGACTTCCTCACCAGCCTACTTCGGTAGAATTCTACATTACGGTCACTACTTGCTTTTGATTGTCCAGGACACAACTCAGCATGGGGGGCAGGATGAGCTGAGTCTTGATCCTCAAATTCCTTTCCAGCAACTGGAGACAAGAGGGAACATGTTCTGCTGGAAAAAAAGCTTTTTGCATGCTCATTTTGTGCAGCATGAAAAGATCAGGACTCTTGTGTCCTAACCAGCCTCAAAGACAGAGGACAGAGATCTAAGAAAGCACAGAGAAAAGAGGATTATTGCTGAGTGGGAGCACCAGCCCACAAGGGAAGAGGAGCGTGGACATACAGAGCTCCTCAGGGGTCAGAATGATTCGTATCTATGGAGCAGACTCAATTCTAAGGGCCACACTGGACAGTTCCCTCTAGGTGGGGAGTTAACTGGGGTCACTTGGAGGCTCTGCAGGGAGATAGGCAGAATGGGCAACAGGAGGGCAGAGAAGCCACAGGCATTTTAAGAATAGTGACCAGAAATGCAATTACTTGGGCAGGGATTATTTGTATTTGTTAGATTTTCTTAGGCAGAGACTGACTAGGCCTTGGGTACCTCCATGGTGCTTAGAGCACTCTAACAATGGGTTACTGGGAGCAGGAGTCAGAGTTATAAAACCATACTGCTATTCTGTGGAACCGGAGGAAAAAACTATATTTCTAAGTTATCCCCTCTCCCCATGTGAGCACTCAAAATTGCAAAGATCTGCCCAGGAAGCAAAATACCTCAGTTTATCCCAAGGTGGAAAACAAACTTAAATCATCACATCACAAAAGGCAGCTATTTTGAAAGACTAAAAATGTCACTTGGAATAAAGGTAGGGGGCACACACAGAAATGGGTCAGAACACAATGGAGAGAGAGGGAGCTGAAAATACAGCAACCTACACGCCACATATCTCAGAGGAGTAGGCTCCTGCACACATGGGCTTTGTAATACCAGACGGTCTATTTGTTCACAATATTAAAGGGCATCTAGAATTAGCTACAGTAAGGGATCGAAAGTTGCCTGAAGAATGGGCACAGAAAGGCTGCATCCGAAGTTGGTCTGTCACTTGGGAGGGTGGAGCTGCTGGGCCTTCCTGTTGACCACTGTCTTGCAAAACTAGAAGAAAAATACATTTGTTAAGGAACCAACAAGGGAAAATAGAGAAATACTGTAAGTCATCTTGAATGGGACATTTCTAAAGGAGGAAAGATGCCAGTTGGTGGGGAGAGGAATGGGGGAGGGCACTAAGGCCCAAGCAGTGACTGAGAAGCTGGCATCACAACAGTCCACTGAGTTCTAAACTTCTGTCTCCCAGAAGCTGCTCTAAGAAATAAGGCAGGGAGGGAGAGGATGGCATCGCTGCTGACACTCTAGGCCTCAGCCTCTTAGTGCTTAGAGCACAGCCAGTTTTTTGTGTTTTTCAGTTGGGTCTCACTCTGCCACCCAGGCTGGAGTGTAGTGGCACGCTCACAGCCACTGCAGTCTTGACCTGCTGGGCTGACCCTGTGACCTAAACAGATGCCACCTCTAATGAAAAGAGCTACTTAGTATGGGATTGGAGGTATAAAGAGGAAGGAAGTAAAGCACCAGACACAGCAGTGGACACTAAGAAAAGCTGTCTGGTCTGCAAGTTTTCTGAGGGAAGGACAGAGAATGCCAGCATTTGGGAGCCAGGAACTGGCTCTGGCATGGGAGGTACAGGGAGTGCCCCCAGCATAACAGGTTCATATGAGATGGCTAAGGTTTTGAGAGGGGAAGAATGATTAGTAGCAGATGAACTTCGCTTCTGCATCTACTGTCCCCACCTCCACTTCTTACCACCTCACTCCTGTCTTTATCTATATAGTTCTTTATAAAAAACCATGTCCCTGATACATCCTAATAGCCATAGTCTCTTTCAATGGAAGCCCAAGAGCTGTTCAGCATTTCAGTCGTCATCATTACTGAAGGGAAGGATAAGGAATGGGTGTACTGACTCCATAGTGAGCTGCTGGGGCCTTAAGGACTCAAGCTGACTTTAGCTTCTGTGACATGCACAGTAAGAAGATTGGTACATACAGTGCAGAAGGGGGAGGGTGGCTTTAGTCATCTGCTGTCATTCCTTTCACTGGGTCCTTATGTCTCATCTGGAACAGAAAAATCGAACAATTGAAGGCTCCTGCTGCTGATGGAACTCCATCAAAAATATATCCCACCTTCTCAATCCTACCAATAGATAGGGTGGGGCATTTCTGTGCATAAAGCAAAAAATTGGAAGGATAGAATTTTGCATACATACAGCCAAAGTCAAACCATTTCTAGCTCTATGTCACTGGTTTCACCATCCGTGACTTTTTTTTTTTTTTTTTTGAGTTGGAGTCTCACTCTGTCACCCAGGTTGGAGTGCAGTGGCACACTCACGGCCACTGCAGCCTCGACCTGCTGGGCTCAGGTGATCCTTCTGCCTCAGCCTTCCAAGTAGCTGGAACCACAGGGACATACCATCATGCCCAACTAATGTTTTGATTTATTGTAAAGATGAGGTCTCGCCAAGTTGCCACTGGTCTTGAACCGGTGGGCTCAGGCAATCCTCTCACCTCAGCCTCCCGAAGTGCTGGGATTATAGGCGTGAGCCACCGCACTCGGCCTCATCCATAATTTCTTACTCTTTTCCTTGCATCATGGTGTTGGGGTTAGTTCTTAAGCAACTGTTTCATTCATTCATCCAATAAATATTTATAGAGCATCTCTTTTGTGCTAGGAATTTCTACAGGGCTGGGGATATTTAGCAGTGAACCAAAAGAGACCAGGTCTCTCCTCAGGAGCTTGTATTCTGGGGCAAGGTGGGAGGAGAACAAATACATTAATATATATCAAGTAAGAACAAGGGATTCTGGGATTGAGACTAACTGGGGAAGTTTTTTTTTTTCCTTTGGGGGAGAGTCAGAATCTCACTCTTGTCCAGACTAGAGTGCAATGATGTGCTCACAGGTACCACAGCCTCTACCTGCTGAGCTCAGGCGATCCTTCCGCCTCAGCTTCCAAGTAGCTGGAACTACAGGCGCACACCACCATGCCCAGCTAATTTTATTTATTGTAGAGATGATGTTTCACCAAGTTGCCCAGACCAAGCTCGAACCCTTAGGCTCAGGCAATCCTCCTGCCTTTGCCTCTTAGAGTGCTAGGATTACATGTATAAGCCACTGCGCCCAGCCGAAAGTGCTATTTAAAAGGTAATTATGGAAACTGCCATGTATGGTGGCTCATGCCTGTAATCCTAGCACTCTGGGAAGCAGAGGCGAGAAGATTGCTTAAGCCCAGGGGTCTGAGACCAGCCTGGGAAAAAAGGTAAGATTTACTTTCTACAATAAATAAAAAACTTAGCCAGGTGTGGTGGCACATGCCTGTAGTTCCAGCTACTTGGAAGGCTGACGTGGAATGATCACCTGAATCCAGCAGGTCGAGGCTGCGATGACTGTGAGCATGCCACTCACTGCACTCTAGCCTGAGTGACAGAGTGAGACTCCAACTAAAAAAAAAAAAAAAAAAAAAAAAAAAAAAAAGATAATTATGGAAACTTACAAGTGAGGTTTGAGTAGAGATATGAAAAAGTTTAAGTGAGGGAGAAAATCCTGTGGCTCTCTGGGGAGGAGTGTTCCAAGCAGAGGGAATAGCAATTCCCTCCCCTCAGCTCTGCTTAAAAGTAGGCACAATGTGGTGTCAAGTTTGGCAAAAGGATGTAGGGGTGAAAAGTGCAGGGAGGCAGATCTCAGCTTCACAGAAATGCAAGGCAGAGGAAAACAGGATGGAGTCCTCTCTGGCAGCACTGAGTGTTCCCTGGCACTGGTACCTTCCAGGCAGAAGCAGACACAACTTATTGGGGATGCTGTAGAGGTGATCTCTCTAAAATCCTTTCTGACTTGAAACTTCTATTTACAGAATGTCAATAATATATGAGTATTTCTTCACTATTCATTAATTTTCTGCTCAACTTTTTTGAGTTGGAGTCTCACTCTGTCGCCCAGGCTGGAGTGCAGTGGCATGCTCACGGCCACTGCAGCCTCGACTTGCTGCTCAGGTGATCCACCTCAGCCTTCCAAGTAGCTAGAACCACAGGTGCTTGCCACCATGCCCGGCAAATTTTTTGTTTTATTGTAGAAACGAGGTCTTGCCAAGTTGCCTAGGCTGGTCTTGAACCCCTGGGCTCAGGCAATCCTCTTGCCTCTGCCTCCTAAAGTGCTGGGGTTATAGGCATGAGCCACCACGCCTGTCCTTCACTGCTCTTTAAACCTCAATTTCTGTAATAATAAAATAGAAATATTAACAGTACAGACATGTGGTTGTGGTAAAGATTAAATAGGATATTCATGTAGAGTACTTAGCATAGCAGAGTACTTGGCATCGAGTATACACTCAGTTCATGTTATCTATGATGTTTTCCTTTCTTCCAAATACTGTCCTATAGCAAAAAAGGGTGTGTATACAAGCCCTGAAGAATGTGAAATTTTAAGCTATAGCCCTCTTCAGAATTGTGTTCTAGTCATTGAAAAATCTAAGGCCGGGTGGGGCTCACTCATTTCAGTGGGGCAAAATGGCTCAGCCTGTAATCCCAGCACTGAGAGGTCAAGGTGAGAGGATTGCCTGAGCCCATGGGTTCGAGACCAGCCTGGGCAACTTGACAAGACCTCATCCCTACAATAAATGAAAAAATTAGCCGGCCATGGTGGTGCATGCCTGTAGTTCCAGTTGCTTGGACGGCTGAGGAAGAAGGATCCCCTGAGCCCAGCTGGTCGAGGCTGCAGTGGGCGACAGAGTGAGACTCACTCCAACTCCAAAAGAAAATCTAGTACTGCCACAGTTTGCAGACATTCTATTTCAGTCGAAGTTCTCCACTAGGAAACATTTTCTTTTTTTTTTTTGAGTTGGAGTCTCACTCTGTCGCCTTGACTAGAGATGAGGTCTCGCCAAGTTGCCCAGGTGGGCCTCGAACCCGTGGGCTCAGGCAATCCACTCACCTCAGCCTCCCAAAGTGCAGGATTACAGACTGAGCCACTGAGCCCGGCTTTTTTATTTTTTATTTTTTGAGTGAGTCTCACTCTGTCGCCCAGGCTGGAGTGCAGTGGCATGCTCATGGCCACCACAGTCTTGACCAGCTGGGCTCAGGGGATCCTTCCACCTCAGCCTTCCAAGTAGCTGGAACTACAGGCGCGCGCTACCACGCCTGGCTCATTTTGATTTATTGGAGAGATGACGTCTCGCCAAGTTGCCCAGGTGGGTCTCGAACCTGCAGGCTCAGGCAATCCACTCACCTCAGCCTCCCAAAGTGCAGGATTACAGACTGAGCCACTGAGCCCGGCTTTTTTATTTTTTATTTTTTGAGTGAGTCTCACTCTGTCGCCCAGGCTGGAGTGCAGTGGCATGCTCATGGCCACCACAGTCTTGACCAGCTGGGCTCAGGGGATCCTTCCACCTCAGCCTTCCAAGTAGCTGGAACTACAGGCGCGCGCTACCACGCCTGGCTCATTTTGATTTATTGGAGAGATGACGTCTCGCCAAGTTGCCCAGGTGGGTCTCGAACCTGCAGGCTCAGGCAATCCACTCACCTCAGCCTCCCAAAGTGCAGGATTACAGACTGAGCCACTGAGCCCGGCTTTTTTATTTTTTATTTTTTGAGTGAGTCTCACTCTGTCGCCCAGGCTGGAGTGCAGTGGCATGCTCATGGCCACCACAGTCTTGACCAGCTGGGCTCAGGGGATCCTTCCACCTCAGCCTTCCAAGTAGCTGGAACTACAGGCGCGCGCTACCACGCCTGGCTCATTTTGATTTATTGGAGAGATGACGTCTCGCCAAGTTGCCCAGGTGGGTCTCGAACCTGCAGGCTCAGGCAATCCACTCACCTCAGCCTCCCAAAGTGCAGGATTACAGACTGAGCCACTGAGCCCGGCTTTTTTATTTTTTATTTTTTGAGTGAGTCTCACTCTGTCGCCCAGGCTGGAGTGCAGTGGCATGCTCATGGCCACCACAGTCTTGACCAGCTGGGCTCAGGGGATCCTTCCACCTCAGCCTTCCAAGTAGCTGGAACTACAGGCGCGCGCTACCACGCCTGGCTCATTTTGATTTATTGGAGAGATGACGTCTCGCCAAGTTGCCCAGGTGGGTCTCGAACCTGCAGGCTCAGGCAATCCACTCACCTCAGCCTCCCAAAGGCGCAGGATTATAGGCCGAGCCACTGAGCCCGGCTCCTTCTCATTTTTAAAGAACTCTGTCACCTAGGCTGGAGTGCGGTGGCACAATCATAGCTCACTGCAGCCTCAAAGTCTTGGGCTCAAGCTATCCTGCTGCCTCAGCCTCCAAGTAGCTGGGACCATAGGCAGGTGCCACCATGCCCAACTTGTCAAATCTTTATTGTCTTTTTTTTGTTTGTTCTTTGAATTGGAGTCTCACTCTGTCACCCAGGCTGGAATGCAGTGGCATGCTCATGGCCACCACAGCCTCTACCTGCTGGGCTCAGGCGATCCTTCCA